AATTAAAATGCAATTCTCCATTGTATTGCATTGTAATTGAGTTTAATTAAACTCCAATTAAAACGCAACCCTATATAGGAACGCGTTTTAATCGAGTTCATATCGCAACTATATTAAAAGTTAATTCAACTATATTAAAAGTTAATCCAATGAAGTCCTCGGAACATATTGCAATACAAGTATGTGTGAGTGTGAGTGTGTGTGTGTGTGTGCCGTATGTGATTCGCTATACAGCTGGACTGTCACTTGTTAATTAATTCATCAACGAAAACGAAAAGAAAACAAGAAATTTTCCATGTTTTTATTAATGAAATTTTACTTAATTCATCTTTGAAAATTTGACAATAAATTTGAATTCACTTCATTTACTACCGATAGAGGGAACATAATTTAAAAATCTGGATTACATTGCTCGAAAAACAATAATTTCTTTCTTCTGAAAAGCTGAAATTCATCTATTGTGCAATATTGATGATAATGTGTTTATGACAGAGCAGTTTTTCTGGTGTAATTCAACTCTGTTATCTACCAAATCCACATTCATTAGAGTTAAAATTCAGTTAACGATACAAGGTCCTTAGGACCCCCTCACTCATAACAACAATCCTAACCATGCCCCTCCAGTGCTTCTTCCCCATTTCAATTGTATATACCCCGCTTCAGGGCACTTATAGCTATTTGGACGGGCATATCCAGTTTACTGCCTACAACTAAAAATATTGTAGTAACAATGAAAATTAAGTTGTATATTTAATTATGACAAATATAGGGCAAAGAAAAGACTTCAAGGAGAAGATGTATTTGGTAATAAAATATCAGTATCATTTGCCAATGGAAAGTCAAGATCACATAACGGAAAAAATGGCAATGGGTCTCAGAATAAAAAAGAAAAGGATAACAGCTCAACAGAAAATGACAGCGAGACTGATGAAACAGGTATGCTCTCCTAATAAACTAATATAAATTAATGCAGTAATATGGTCAGTTTTGCATGCATGATGCCTAAACCCTAAATGTCAAACATCCTGACACTTTCTGGAAGTACTGTTTGTTAACAGCAGTAATTTCAAATAAGGTACCTACATTTTTGCCATTTTGATCTGCTTTTGAACTGCAATGCCAAATAATTAAATTATTATCATTGGGAGTGAATTTGTCTACCTAAAAAGTACCAGGATGTGTGACCTTTAGGGGTCATACACAAGGAATATTGCTTTGACCTGGCTGACTAATGAATATGCATGTCATTCCTAATTACATAACACAGCAGTGTAATTTGCATAAGATTTCTTTTTGTCAGCATGCTGATGAATTGAAAATCAGTTCCGCTCAAACCTCACAGCAATGGAGTTCTACAGTGCTAGCTTGTATCGTTCTGATGTTCTTGTTCTTTCTCCAGGCAAGTTCAACCGTGGAGCTTTAATGATTCAACAACAACTGTACCAAGAGAAGCAAGAACATCAAAATGGGTTTGATCCCAGTCAAGTCTGTTACCAGTTTTCCAATGGTGAAAATGCACCATTACAACAAGCCATTGAAAATGAAGTCACAAAAGTAGAAGAAGATCCAGATAACAAGGAGAATCAGATTGATGCAACACCGGAGTACCCCAAGAGAATTGCACCTGTAGAACATGCTGTCTTCAAAAGACCTAGATCTTTACAGGTTTGTCTTTTCTACTGGGTTTTCTGATCATTTTTATGCTGTCTTCAAAAAACTTAGATCCGTACAGGTGTGTCTTCCCTACTGAGTTTTCTGATCATTTTATGCTGTCTTCAAAAGACCTAGATCTTTACAGGTTTGTCTTTTCTACTGGGTTTTCTGATCATTTTATGCTGTCTTCAAAAGACCTAGATCTTTACAGGTGTGTCTTCCCTCCTGAGTTTTCTGATCATTTTATGCTGTCTTCAAAAGACCTAGATCTTTACAGGTTTGTCTTCCCTACTGGGTTTTCAGATCATTTTTATGCTGTGTTTAAAAAACTTAGATCCGTACAGGTGTGTCTTCCCTACTGGGTTTTCTGATCATTTTTATGCTGTGTTCAAAAAAACTTGGTTCTTACAGGTGTGTTGCCCTACAAAGTTTTCTGATCATTTTTTATGTTGTGTTTAAAAAACCTAGTTCCTTACACGTTTGTCTTCCCTACTGAGTTTTCTGATCATTTTTATGCTGTGTTCAAAAACTTGGTTCTTACAGGTGTGTTGCCCTACAAAGTTTTCTGATCATTTTTTATGTTGTGTTTAAAAAACCTAGTTCCTTACACGTTTGTCTTCCCTACTGGGTTTTCTGATCATTTTTATGCTGTGTTCAAAAACTTGGTTCTTACAGGTGTGTTGCCCTACAAAGTTTTCTGATCATTTTTTATGTTGTGTTTAAAAAACCTAGTTCCTTACACGTTTGTCTTCCCTACTGAGTTTTCTGATCATTTTTATGCTGTGTTCAAAAACTTGGTTCTTACAGGTGTGTTGCCCTACAAAGTTTTCTGATCATTTTTTATGTTGTGTTTAAAAAACCTAGTTCCTTACACGTTTGTCTTCCCTACTGAGTTTTCTGATCATTTTATGCTGTGTTCAAAAAACCTAGATCTTTACAGGTGTGTCTTCCCTCCTGAGTTTTCTGATCATTTTATGCTGTGTTCAAAAAACCTAGTTCCTTACACGGGTGTCTTCCCTACTGAGTTTTCTGATCATTTTATGCTGTGTTCAAAAAATCTAGTTCCTTACAGGTGTGTCTTCCCTACTGAGTTTTCTGATCATTTTTATGCTGTGTTCAAAAAATCTAGTTCCTTACAGGTGTGTCTTCCCTACTGAGTTTTCTGATCATTTTATGCTGTGTTTAAAAAACCTAGTTCCTTACACGGGTGTCTTCCCTACTGAGTTTTCTGATCATTTTATGCTGTGTTAAAAAAATCTAGTTCCTTACAGGTGTGTCTTCCCTACTGAGTTTTCTGATCATTTTTATGCTGTGTTTAAAAAACTTAGATCCGTACAGGCGTGTCTTCCCTACTGAGTTTTCTGATCATTTTTATGCTGTGTTCAAAAAAACTTGGTTCTTACAGGTGTGTTGCCCTACAAAGTTTTCTGATCATTTTTTATGTTGTGTTTAAAAAACCTAGTTCCTTACACGTTTGTCTTCCCTACTGAGTTTTCTGATCATTTTATGCTGTGTTCAAAAACCTAGTTCCTTACACGGGTGTCTTCCCTACTGAGTTTTCTGATCATTTTATGCTGTGTTCAAAAACCTTAGATCCGTACAGGCGTGTCTCCCCTACTGAGTTTTCTGATCATTTTTATGCTGTGTTCAAAAAACCTAGTTCCTTACAGGTGTGTCTTCCCTACTGAGTTTTCTGATCATTTTTATGCTGTGTTCAAAAAACCTAGTTCCTTACAGGTGTGTCTTCCCTCCTGAGTTTTCTGATCATTTTATGATGTGTTCAAAAACCTAGTTCCTTACACGGGTGTCTTCTCTACTGAGTTTTCTGATCATTTTATGCTGTGTTCAAAAAACTTAGATCCGTACAGGCGTGTCTTCCCTACTGAGTTTTCTGATCATTTTTATGCTGTGTTCAAAAAACCTAGTTCCTTACAGGTGTGTCTTCCCTACGGAGTTTTCTGATCATTTTTATGCTGTGTTCAAAAAACCTAGTTCCTTACAGGTGTGTCTTCCCTACTGAGTTTTCTGATCATTTTATGCTGTGTTTAAAAAACCTAGTTCCTTACACGGGTGTCTTCCCTACTGAGTTTTCTGATCATTTTATGCTGTGTTCAAAAACCCTAGATCCGTACAGGCGTGTCTTCCCTACTGAGTTTTCTGATCATTTTTATGCTGTGTTCAAAAAACCTAGATCCCTACAGGTGTGTCTTCCCTACTGAGTTTTCTGATCATTTTTATGCTGTGTTCAAAAAACCTAGTTCCTTATACGGGTGTCTTCCCTACTGATTTTTCTGATCATTTTTATGCTGTGTTCAAAAAACCTAGATCCGTACAGGTGTGTCTTCCCTACTGAGTTTTCTGATCATTTTTATGCTGTGTTTAAAAAACCTAGATCCCTACAGGTGTGTCTTCCCTACTGAGTTTTCTGATCATTTTTATGCTGTGTTCAAAAAACCTAGATCTGTACAGGTGTGTCTTCCCTACTGAGTTTTCTGATCATTTTTATGCTGTGTTCAAAAAACCTAGATCTGTACAGGTGTGTCTTCCCTACTGAGTTTTCTGATCATTTTATGCTGTGTTCAAAAAACTTAGATCCGTACAGGCGTGTCTTCCCTACTGAGTTTTCTGATCATTTTTATGCTGTGTTCAAAAAACCTAGTTCCTTACACGGGTGTCTTCCCCATCTGAGTTTTCAGATCATTTTATGCTGTGTTCAAAAAACCTAGATCCGTACAGGCGTGTCTTCCCTACTGAGTTTTCTGATCATTTTATGCTGTGTTTAAAAAACCTAGTTCCTTACACGGGTGTCTTCCCTACTGAGTTTTCTGATCATTTTATGCTGTGTTCAAAAAACCTAGATCCGTACAGGCGTGTCTTCCCTACTGAGTTTTCTGATCATTTTTATGCTGTGTTCAAAAAACCTAGATCCCTACAGGTGTGTCTTCCCTACTGAGTTTTCTGATCATTTTTATGCTGTGTTTAAAAAACCTAGATCCGTACACGTGTGTCTTCCCTACTGAGTTTTCTGATCATTTTTATGCTGTGTTTAAAAAACCTAGATATTTACAGGCGTGTCTTCCCTACTGAGTTTTCTGATCATTTTTATGCTGTGTTCAAAAAACCTAGATCCGTACAGGTGTGTCTTCCCTACTGAGTTTTCTAATAATTTTTATGCTGTGTTTAAAAAACCAAGATCCTTACAGGTGTGTCTTCCCTACCAAGTTTTCTGTTATTTTTGTGCCCATTGAATCATTCACCTTTTCCCACTTTTGTGCAATCAAAGATGATGGCAGGTAATTTCTGGATCATGGTTGATCATTCAGGATCAAACTGGATCTCTGGCAGTCATATCTTCTATGTTAAGTCATACTTATGATACACTCAATCGATAGAAAGATGTCAGTTTTAATAAACTCTTTGACATTACTTAATCATGACCCCAGATTCAAGGTGTAATGTAAGTATGGTTTCACTATGTAAAATATCAGATTATCACCATTGTGAGTCTGATCCACTTTTTCATTACCTAACAATCTATTCAGATAATAGTGATGACTTGCCTTGAAACATTATTGTGAATAATTAGTAACTATCCTCTGTAAACCACTGTAATCTAAAGAGTGACACATTTTTATGATATTTGCAAGTTTATGGAAATTGAGAAATTTTGTTTCACTGGTGTCAAATTTTGTCTTCATGTGTATGCCATTAAATCATAAAATCACAAAAGTTCTATCAGGGAAAATTAAACTATACACATTTCCAATAGTGCAGTCTTACTTGTATTACAAGTATGCACGGATTGTTTTGAACAAGGGCACAGTGCCCTCATGCCATGGTCATGCGGTCCTTACCCTGGAAGCAGATGCTCTGGCAACCATAAAATTCTGATTGATCAGGGATCACATGTGGCCACAGTCTTCAACTGTGACCTGTCTAATAGTAATTTTGGCCCCAAATAAGCCCATAGAATGCTTTATTTTTGCTTAGAATTATCAAAAACACCCTGGTAAGGAAAACCCTATCTCCCACACTTGGTGGCACCGCTGAATTGCAGTGCTCCCTCTTGCATTTTTTTTTCTAGAAAAACCCCTATGTATGTATGTATGTGTGTCTTCTTTTTTTCCTCCAGAGTCCTGTAACTGTGCAACCTGTCTATGGTCCCATTCCAACATACAGAATATCACCAATACCCTCCTGTATGCTGAGCACAGCACCAACAATTCCTCAGTATCCCAGTGGAATTGAAATATTAGTCAGTAACTTGGATGAGAATTTACCTAAGAGAGAACTTAGAAGAATCTTATTATCTGTTTTCAGAGAACATTGCAAGGTAAGAATCATTTTGTTAATAAATGGAAGACTGGTTTCTGTTTTTAATGTCTTTAAATTGTTCATGATTATTGTATTCTTTGTATGTCACCATACAAATCATCTTGTTAATACAAGAAAGACCATTGTGGACTGGTTTCTGTTTTTAATGTCTTTAAATTGTTCATGATTATTGTATTCTTTGTATGTCACCATACAAATCATCTTGTTAATATAAGAAAGATCATTGTGGACTGGTTTCTGTTTTTAATGTCTTTAAATTGTTCATGATTATTGTATTCTTTGTATGTCACCATACAAATCATCTTTTTAGTTATTAATACAAGAAAGACCATTGTGGACTGGTTTCTGTTTTTAATATCTTTAAATTGTTCATGATTATTGTATTCTTTGTATGTCACCATACAAATCATCTTGTTAATACAAGAAAGACCATTGTGGACTGGTTTCTGTTTTTGAGGTCTTTAAATTGTTCATGATTATTGTATTCTTTGTATGTTATCATATTTGCCTTTGCTAATATCTGTTTTACATAATAATGCATAGCTGTTGATGAATAATTGAAGAATTATTAGGTTGTTGGTGGTATCACATACTGTTTTTCAACAATATGTTTTTGAATTGCTGGCAGCCACCCAGTAGATATTTGCATTACATGCATCTTTCCTCAGATAAATTTTATAATTTTTTTTTTCATATTCAACAAACAAAATGTTTTTGAAATGTTCAGTAGATCCGTTATTTCATACTGATAATAAAAAAAATATGGTATTATGATCATAGACACTAATGTCATTCACTAAGGTAACAAGATTGGTATTAGTTTTACGCTTTGTGTTTCAGGTATTGCATGTTGCATTAAGTAGCGGCCCGTTACAAGCAGTGGTACGGGTACCGAGAATGGCTGACGCTCACATTGCTATTGCGCATATTAACAGGCATAAAATTGGAAGTAAAAGGGTTAATGTAACCCTTGCACCTAATCCTAACTCTGGATTAGATTACTTGAGGTGAGAATATTTACCAGTCTACTCCAAAAGGCACTTTCTACATTTCTCAATTTTAGACAGATTATATCTAAAAGATACGGGTAATGTGAAAAAGGCCAAAAAAAAGTTTATTCAATACAACAACAAGATATTTGTTCAGCATTTAACCTTAAATAATGCTTGCTGATACAGGCTTTAAAGTTAGATTTGGATTTACAAAACATCCTCTAAAACAGAAAACAATCAAATCTTCATTCTAATATATGCGACTCATTTGATTGGTGCTCGACATTGAAGAAAAAAAAAGATGTGGGGTTCAGGTTAAAAACTAACTAAGTGAGATGAGGAATTCTTTTTTTGTCTTGTAAGAAATGGTTGAAATACGTAAATGCCGATCAAAACATTAATTCAGTCACATTTGTGTAGCATATCAAGGGTTATATCCTGTAATGTAAATCATGTTCTACTAATAATACTTATAAATCTTGTCATCTTTCCAACCAGAAATCAAGTAGTATCCATTTTAAGTGATATTCATGGTGGAAGTCTTCCTTTGTTCAAATTCTCAGAAATCTATGATAATAGGTAACTATGACAATCAATATATATATACACAATGTGTTTTCCATTTTTGCTGCTAGTAATTTTTCTGATTTGAATATTTTATTTTATTCGTAAAAAATCAAATTTGCAAATGACGTTGACACTCTTTTGTAGAATTAGAAAGAAAATTTTCACTGTTAAAAAATTCTCCTGTGAAATGAAACTGTACAGTATTCAGCATGTGTGAAATTCATTGTTTTATTACTCAAATTTGAACATGTACTTCACTGTGACTAGGATGCTTCAAACATCTTCTGAAAGACAATCACTGTGTTCTGTTTTTAGGTTTAAACGTCCATTACATGTTTCTGATTTGTATCAAATTCCGGATACTGTGATTATACAGGACACTCCAACAGGACGCATGGTGTCATTAACATACTATGTATGCAAAGCAGACAAACTGCCGCAACTACCAACAGGATCTCGGAACTCACCAATTATTATCAGTCCTATTCCATCCAGGTAAATATAAGATAACAATATTATTATACTATAATACTTAAAGATGGCTGACTGGTGCTATTTTAGTGGTAAAAATGTACTAAAATCAAGAATCTTCTAATCTGAATCTTGGATTAATTTTGTTCATACTTATATACATGGAATCTTGATGCATGTTAAAAGGGCCAATTGACAGCAATTTCATTTTAAATAATGATGCCTTTATGGTTGATAACATTAACCAAACAGCCTTATTTTGAGACAGGACAGGAAAATACTTGTATGACAAAAACAAATTGATGCTGCACGAAGACGTAAAATGACCTTTAAAATTGTGGTCATTTGCACTATTTTCTTTGGAGTGGTAAAATCTTATACGAGGTTTAATGGCTATTGGCACACCCGTTAGTATTTCCTGCTTGCTAGACTCATTTTGCATATGTACCTCTGGACTAATTTTATTCAAACTTATCATTGTCATAAAATTTTTGCATAATGTAATTCAAGATGTCTGACTGGTGATCAGTTCATTGTAAAAATGAATGAAATTGCTTTTGCAGAACCAGGTCTAATCACATGTTGTTTGCGTACTTGTGTTAATCACCGTTAATAGCTTTTCATGTACAGTTACTGTTAATGTTTTCATTTTGTTTTGTATATAGAGAGCCAACCCCTGAGCCATGTGAAGAGTATTGTTCTGTACATGATGAGTGCACTGAGGGGGATTATACTTCCCGTGGTGAGAATCCATGTATTGTGGAACCACTGAAAACATTCTCTGCACAAGTCCATACATTATTACAAATCCATGATGGTAGAATGCCTCTTATTAGGTAAGTATGTAATGAAGAAGGGCTATTGCCTTAAAGGCCCATGTATACTATAAATACGCTCCTAAACAATAGGGATTATTTCCTTGCTTGTCACACTGTAGTAAACAGCTCCAGCCAAGCTCTGGTAAAAACGCGTTTTCTCGAACTTACAGGTCGATTATGTCGTGCCAAAGTGGATGCATGTGACTATGAATATCACAGCAGTGACTGTGTGTAGTATTTATGACAATAAATAGTGTACGAGTTGAGATTTTAGTGAATAAAAGTCAAAAACACGAACCGGGGAAAGGGACGCGCTACTAATCTTGAATAATTAACTACTGCCAATCAAAGTCACATGATGTTGGACCGCTGAAACGGGATGCGGCATAGGCTATGCAAGTGATTAACAACACTCATTAGCATAGCCACACCTCCAATTCACACTTGCCCGGGGCAAGTGAATTGGGCCTTTAAACGACTGGCTATTTTGTATAGTCAGGACGATTACCACATATTGCCTGTTATATATCATACAAGTATATTATTACACGACCTCCCAACAATTTGTGTTGCTTACATAGGATTGCTGACATCACAATAATATTATTACTGTAATGCTGAAAATATTGATATCCTTCTTGATCATCATATATCATCGTGTATTGATGCATTTCATTACAGCTTTGCCATATGTTATGCCACTGAGTTTAGACTGTTAAAAATGGATGACAATAATGGTGTACCATTGGAACACTTACTGACGTGCATTCAGGGTGTTAGAGTAGCTATAAGTAGACAAGGATTCAAGACTGTATGCTGGACCCAAAATAATTGTAGACCACCCACTCCTGCACCAGGTAAAACAATCTCCTGCCTTCATTATTGTTTGAGGCTCATGCTTTCATTCAAAATACTGCACATATCAATGCTGAAATTATTATGGAAAGAGTTCTTTTTGTACACCCAGCCCCTAACAAGGTTATTACAGATTGGAATGCATTGAAGGACTTATTTGTAGTGCACATGCATGTTATTACGGATTGGAATATATTGAAGGACTTATTTTTAGTGCACATGCATGTTATTACAGATTGGAATACATTGAAGGACTTATTTTTAGTGCACATGCATGTTATTACAGATTGGAATACATTGAAGGACTTATTTTTAGTGCACATGCATGTTAAGTCACTGAGAATGCATTGAATTATGGGAAAAATCACTGCATATCAACACCAAATCTTGCATATACATGTATGGCATGACTACCACCACCCTTTAAATAAACACACCAATATCAATGCATGTTCACTGTGTTTGTTTTCTACTTCAGGTGGTGTTTTGAGAAGTCCCAGTCCAATCTTAACACCTCAGTTATTCCAGTTCAGTAAAGAAGTAGTCGAACTGCTGAAAAACAGTTCACATTGTCGAATGTCTTTCAGTAAATTCATTCCTGCTTACCATCATCACTTTGGTAGGCAGTGTAGAGTGGCTGAATATGGTTTTACTAAACTCATTGAATTATTTGATGCTATACCTCATATTATACAGGTAGGTATATCCTATATATTTGACGAGTGACACACTTTTGCACAACATACATGTATATATCTTACTGACAGATAATTTCGACTATTGTACATCAAGCACGGAAAACAAATTGAATGCAATTTACTCTTGAAATTTTCTCTCGTTTGTGGTTAACTGTCGCCAACTTCAACACACTCAAGACTATTGACATTGCTTTCTTTTGTTTTTCTTTTGTTTACATTTGAATTGCTATTAGATGACAGAAATATAATTTTGTCCCTCGAACGCAAACGTTCACACAGTGCCAATAGATTTTTTGTTGCTATTTTGCCCAGTCATCTCATTAAATTATTACTACAAGCACAGTTGCTTGTAACATAAAAATAAATAAAAATTTTATTTTAAGAAATTGTATATACACATGTACACGAGGCCCAACAATATCCCGCTGTCTGATGAGTTGATTTATTTTTATGTTACAAGCAACTGTGCTACAAGCAAAAAAATACTGCAAAGTATGTATGCCATCCTGGAAATACTACATAATCTTTCCATATTTGGAATTTACATTTCCTAATAATATAGGATGCAGATATACTGCAAAATACTGCCTAATTATGGCCTAATTATGGCCTAATTATGGCCTAATTATGGCCTAATTATGGCCTAATTATGTAATGTATAGCCTGACAAGTCGCGCGATTTGTGCCCTCCGCGGTGCTCCAAACCCAACACAGGCCTGACAGAACAATGTAGTTTTTCACTTCCGAATGTCAGATAGTAACAGCCATCAAAGAGTAGCCATTCATGGCAAAGTTTATTTGTTTGTCTACATAATGTGTGATAAGGTGCTGGTATTTTTGTTTATTTCCCTGTTGTTGGATTACCTCCACGGTCCATCAAAAATTGCAATATTTATTTTACCATTGCAGGTAATGGGGGTGTATTGCGCCAAAACGTTAACTCTGACCCACAGATCTCAAGTAAAGCGTTTTACTCAGGATCTTCTCAAAGTCTTGAAATCCCAAGCAAGTAAACTGGTGAGTTATTTGTTCTGAATAATGTACTGTAGCTCAGTCTGTTCACATGTTACAAACATG